TCTCTCTCTCACACACACACACACACACACACACACACCCTCTCTCTCATACATACACACACATCTATATACACACTCACACACAATAAATGTAAATTAACAAAACCAAACCAAGCCAGTTGGTGATGGTGTAGGCCTTTAATCTCAGCACTGTTAAAATGGAGAAGTGTGCTACACACACTGTGACCTATAGGCTGAAAATGGATGCCCCAACATTAAAGAGGAACTTTTGGGTGACTGTCCAGGTAGCAAGAAGTCTCTGTCAATTCTAGAGTTTATATATTATCCTTCTATAATATATATCCTTCTATAACTTTGATAGAGTTGAAGACAGATAGTTATGGTTATAGGTTTCCTCAGTTATTATAAAAGATAAATTATCTTTCTTTTTATTTAGACAGAAAAGAGGAGATGATGGGGAATGTACTGTGTATGTTTAACCTAATACAAGTTTCTGTGTATTCATTTGGGCCTAACTCAGGCAGGCAGCTGGTGTAAAGCTCACACGTGGCGGTGGGGCTCCTGTCCTCAGACAGTCTGCCTTGCACAGCAAGACCCTGCAGCAAAAACTCAAACAACAAAATTTACAATTAGCTAAAACTTTTATGTTGGTTTGGTTGAAAGAGACTTTTTGGGCCACTTAGGTCCACCACACTGAAAGTAATCAGGATTCCTCATATTGACTATAAGTCAAAACTGATCTGCTAAGGTCTATGATGAAACTACAGTGTCTTTTAGCTCAAACAGTCCTTCCATAGATGACAGAAGGGGAATGAAAACATAGGGAAGAAGAGAAAGTTTAACTTAGAGTAAGTTGTTCCAGGACAGCTATGGGAGTTACACAGGGAAACCCCTGTTTAGAAAAACCAACCAACCTCCCCACCAAAAATAAGTCAGATTACACAGTGAAGGACCCCAGGCTCAAGGACACACAGTACCTGAGCTGTGCCATCATAGCAAGCAGATACCAGCCTTCCATCATGATGAGGGCTCCACGCCAGACTGGTAACCTTGGCTGTGTGCCCCGAGAGGGTCCGGAAGGGCTCTGTGATGGTTACTGGAGACTCAGAATTGCTCTCTAAAAGGCAAGGGGAAGAAGTCACAACAACAGCCATTGACAGGACACACAGGAAGACAGAACATGGCAAGAGGCAGGGAAGGCTTTGTGAGATCTCAGTGATTAAGAATGAGCTTAGGCTGGAGAGACGGCTCAGCGGTTAAGAGCACTGGCTGTTCTTCCTGAGGTCTTGAGTTCAATTCCCAGCAAACCCTTGGTGGCTCACAACCATCAATAATGGGATCTGGTGCCTTCATTTGGCTTGCTGGCGTACATGCTGGCAGGACACTGTATACATAATAACTGTATCTTAAATAACAGTCTTTTGGCCGGGCATTGGGAGGCAGAGGCAGAGGCAGGTGGATATCTGTGAGTTCAAGGCCAGCCTGGTCTCCAGAGAGTGCCAGGATAGGCTCCAAAGCTACACAGAGAAAACCTGTCTGGAAAAACAAAACAAAACAAAACAAACAAAAAAAAAAGAGTGAGCTTAGCGGGGCAGTGGTAAACCCCCCTTCAATCCTAGCATTCAAGAGGCAAAAGCAGATGTATCTGTGAGTTTGATGCCAGCCTAGTGTACAAAGCGAGTTCCAGGATCTGCTATGAGGTTGTGTTTCCTTGAAAAGACCATGAAGTTTCACCAAAATGACTACCCAAACATGACCTGAACAAATATGACACCAATAGACTAATGTTGAAGGGAGAAAGCTTGAAGGTACAAGGGAGAAAGCTTATGAGGCCTCAACCCTAAACAAAGAACTACAGGCAACTAAGAAATACTGAGAAAGGGAGAAACAGTCTTCTTCAAGGAAGAATACATCAACTGGTTATCTAATATCAAATCATCAGCCCTGAAAACATGTACATAAAAATAATATGAAATGGATGAGAAGGTTGCATTTATGTATTTAGGAATATATATGTGCAACAACAAAGAAAAAAGTCTATGAATCTGAAAGAGTAAGGGGGACACGAAAGGGTTTGAAAGAGTAAGGGGGGACATGGAAGGGTTTGAAAGAGTAAAGGGGGTACATGGAAGGGTTTGGAGGTACAAAAGAGGAGGAAAAGATAGATATAAGCTCAAAATTAAAGATAAAAAAAGAAAAAAAGAGGGAATGTAGCTCACACTCAGGTATGTAGATCAAGGCCAACATGAGAGCATGAGAGCTCCACCTTCTGGACATACCTGCACTCACATGGTATTCTAGGCAGTAGCAGATCATCTGGAGTTACTCATGAGAAAATACCAGATCAAAACAAACTGCAAGGAACAGTGACCAAACAACTCTTCTGTGTTTCTAACCACTATCAATTCCTTTACCTAAAGAAATGCAACATTTTTTGGTAATATTGTCTGCTCTAATGGTGACAAAGTCCTTCATCTTTTTTGTTTGTTTTTTGAGACAGGGCTTCCCTATTACCTATGGAGCCATTTCTGGAACTTGCTCTATAGACCAGGCCGGCCTTGAACTCAGAGATCTCCCTGCCTCTGTCTTCTGAGTGCTGGGATTAAAAGTGTGTACCACCACCAGATGGCAAATCCTCTCATCTTAAAAAAAAAAACAAAACAAAACAAAAAAACTATCTGTGAAGTCTATAATTTCATCTTCATTTTAAAGGATCTTCTCTTAGTCATAGAATCCCAGATTATAGTAGGTTGCGGAAGTGCAAGGCTGCAACCCCAGCACTTAGAAGGCACAGGCAGGAGGACAGGGTGCAAGGTCATTTTTGGCTATACAAAGCCAGCCTGTCTCAAAAGCCCTATGTTATCCCAGCACAGAAGTCAGTGTTACCTAGGACCGTTCTCAGGTTGTGCACGTAGATGACTGCATTGTTGGAGCCAGAAGCTATGAGGCAGCTCAGCTCTGGACGGCTGCCGTGCTCGTGGTGCCACACTATGGCGTTCACCAGCTTGTGGTGCTGCTGGATGGTGCAGAGCAATTTCAAGTTGGGGACTTGGAATATTTCTATCGATCTGGAATAAGACACAGCAGGATGACAACGGTGGCTAATGAAGTTACAAGTCTTTCCCTTCTCTCAGTTGAGGGAAGGTGAGACAGAAAGCATGGCACACTCTATCCATGGCAGTGGTCCTTCTCTCACAAGGAACTAGGAACTAGCCGAGGATGGAGGTGTTGGTGAGACAACTATGAACTTAATGTCTGAAAAAGGACTGTGAACAATGGGCAAAACACAGTGAGACTCTAATAGCCATCACAGTGTAGTCAGACACTGTCACTAAGCTGCAAAGATTCAAGTGCAGATCAGCTGAGGATATTGACAGTGAATCCTAACACAGAACACAACGGGACTGCCACTGGGCACTGCAGAAAGCCTTGGCCAGCTGGGAATGCTATGATCATACAACTTTGTGTAAAGGACACACTCACCCATCTTCATTGCCAAGAGCCATGACTTTGCCATCTCCTTTCCAGCTGATCTCTGTGTGCACAGGTAGCTTGTACTAGAAAGCAAAACAAGCCAGGCATGGGTAATCTTACAAATCAATGATATCATGAGGGGAAAAAAATCCCTGGGGTTAAAATATGTTCTAATTTTTCTTTTTCTTTTTTCTTTTGGTTTTTCGAGACAGGGTTTCTCTGTGGCTTTGGAGCCTATCCTGGAACTAGCTCTTGGAGACCAGGCTGGTCTCGAACTCAAAGAGATCCGCCTGCATCTACCTCCCCAGTGCTGGGATTAAAGGCGTGTGCCACCAACGCCCGGCTAACTTCTAATTTTGAAGGACAGTTTTCTAGACTAAGACCACATTCAGTCAAAGAGCTACTGAGAACAAGTACTCTGACTACAGTTTCTTAAATGTAGCAGAGGCCAGTAAGTATTGTCTGCAGCTTCCACCTTACAGAATAAAGCTAACCAAAAGGATCCCTTCCACACTGACAGTCCAGTCCCCTTAGCAAAAGGTACATTCCCCAGCATTGTCCCATAAGTCTACTGCTCAAAATCAAATCAGCTATTCTTCAGGGTCCCTTAAGAACCTTGCCTGCTTGCTTGCTTTTTCTTAAAAATATTTTTAATGTGTTTGTGTATATATGTCATTCATGAGCATAGGTGTGGTGTGTGTGTAGAAGCCTGAAGGCAACTTTGGGATTAGTCTCTCCTTCCACCTTTACAAAGGTTCCTAGACACAACTCAGGTAGTCAGGCTTAGTGGCAACCACTTTTATCTGCTGAGCTATTTCATTGGCTCAATGACCCTATTTTTCTCGTCTCTTTTGTCTAATCCATACATGTCCACAGCCTTTTCAAAGTCATTTATGTGAAGAGATCCCAAATTTCTATTTCCTGTGCAGAATCCTCATTTGAACTCTAATATAGAAACTCAACTGTCACTCAACTAAAAATCTTGTCAGGACAGGAACTCTGTTCATTACTGGATGTTAACATACAAACATTGAAGAAAATGAAAGAACACAATCAAGTATGATTTATGACTATGTTACCTTGTGGTAAGCATACAAAAATGAGAAGCAGCAATTAAAACTGCAAGGGGTAAAGGAATCTCAACATTTATGATTTGACTTAAGGACAATTGTAGAAGTCAGGCATTGTGGTGCACACCTGTAATCCTAGCACCTGGGAGTTGGAGGCAGGAACCAAGCTTGAGGCCAGCCTGGGTTATGTTTGATCCTGTCTCAAAAAAGAAAGAAAGAAAAAATAGTTGAGTCATACAAATACAATGACACAAAGTTAAAGCAAATGTGTTGCCTGGACCTCACATTTTTTGCATTGGTGTGCAAGTGACTCTGCATGCACACCCGTGTGTGTAATCCCAGCACTGGGGAGGCTGAGGAAGTAGAGTCAGGAACTTGAAGTCATCCTGGGATAACGGAAGTCACCATATCAAAAGAAAAGACCAAATGAGGCCTGAGGACAATCACATCAAGTTATTGTCAACAGGGCACTTGTAGTTGAAAGGGTTAGCTTCAAAAGGATGCACACCTTTACTTCCAGCACTTGGGAAGCAAAGGTAGGCAGCTCTGTGAATTGGAGGGCAGCTTGGTCTACAGAGCGAGTTCCAGGTCCCTGAGGACTACATATGGTTGAATCCTGTCTCAAAAAAAGAAAACAAACAAACAAACAAAAAAACCCAAAGAAAAGGAAGCTTTCCAGTGAGATACAGAACATTTTTTATCATTACCATTGCAATTAATAAGTCTCCTCATCCCCACACAATTCTTTGATTTACTCAATGGTAAATATCTCTAAGGTGTAACAGGCAACCCACAAATTCAGCAATAGTTTTATCAGCTATCTGAGAAGTCTGGCTATGCACGATGGCATCTTTACAGATGGCCCTTAGTAAGTAACAGTCATCAAAGGAAGCTGAGTGGATGTCAGCCCACTGGAACTTACTCTGATGGAATTGGTGTCCCTCACGAGTTTATTGATGTCGAAGGCCTCGCCACTGAGCTTCCAGGGGTTATGCTGCAGCACAATGCCTTCCCCTCCACAGCTGTACAAGGTGAGGGAAGGCCTGTCTCCTTCCCCTCCTATGAAAGAAAAACTCTTGAGTTTCTTACTGCACCAGTGTGGCTGCTTCCATAGTTATATCATTAGCACAGGGCACACTCAGCTTTGGATGGGAAATGATCTAACATGTTGGGATGAAGCCACCCTCCTACCACTCTGGAAAACTATGGAGAGAAGAAAAAGTATTGTCAACTACTAAGATACTGGGTTCACTGCAAAGGCTCTTCTGACATTCAAGAGCAGTGAGACTAAAGATGTGATCAGAGAAAACGTTACGGTTTCAAATAAAAGCTTCTAACAATGTAGTTCTTCCAAAAATGTGAATCTTTTTTTTCGAGACAGGGTTTCTCTGTGTAGCTTTTGGAGCCTATCCTGGCACTCACTCTGGAGACCAGGCTGGCCTTGAACTCACAGAGATCCGCCTGCCTCTGCCTCCCGAGTGCTGGGATTAAAGGCGTGTGCCACCAACACCCGGCGTGAATCTTAGTGCAAACACAGAGTTCAGGACTTCACATGGCCAAGGAGGGGGTCTCGGGGCACAGCCCTCAGCTGTAGAGCTAGCTAGCCTCCTGGTTGCAACGTAACTCTCTACTGCCTATACAAAGCTAGTGCTAGGGAATCCAGACACTTCAGCACAGGAAGAAAGAGTGTGGAAAACTGACTCATTTTAAAAGACATTAAGAAAGACATATTGGGGGCTGGAGAGAAGGCTCAGCAGTTAAGAACACTGACTGCTATTCCAGAAGATCAGGGCTTGAGTCTCAGCACCCACATGGCAGCTCACAAATGTCTGTAACTCCAAGATTCGATACCCTCACACAGACATGCATGCAGGCAAAACACCAATGCACATAAAAAACAAACAAACCCAAACAAACAAGTGCCACAAGTGGGTCACGGTTTTCAAAACAAAACAAAACAAAACAAAACAGACATACTGCTTTAGGGAAAGCAGCAGCAGCCACGGGGGGAAGGCCAGTACCCAGCCTGTGATTACTCTGTACAGTGAAGACCCAGCTCAGAGACAAAAGTAATACTTGAAAGCTGGGGGAGGCAGGAGGCCAGATTCTCCATCAGCCATCATGAC